GAGTATTTTATTGTTGATATTGTTTTCGATATTTTTAATGAAAAAGAAATGATTGAAAGTATTCTACTGTAATTTACTTCTTAAGTTGATAATGTAATGTTTTTTTGTTCGAAAAAATTGAGCCCCCATGTGTCCGGTATTACGGACGTCTATGGGGGGGTAAATTTGGATTCGCAATGATCATTTCGGTCATAGTTTCGCAAAGTTCTAGTCGTCGGTTGTAATCGCCCTCGCTAAGTTCTTGCAATATTTGTATCTTGTATGGGCGAAATTTATGCAGCTTTGTCACTTTGCGTACCGACGAGTAAGAAAGTCCGATGGATGCTGCAACCTGACGCAAAGAACTGGTTGACTCCATGGTAAAATTTCCAATTACTTCCATCTCCGCCAGTTCATCTACTACCATATTAGTATGCCTTTTCTTGTTCTCTATCGATCCAGTTACTTTAAATTTTTGCACAAGTTCGCGAACTGATTTATGCTCCATATGTGTATTAATTCTTGCTGTTGCACGTGCACATTGCTCGGCACCATAAATGAAGATAACTTCCACCCTTTCAGCAATAGAATACACCATTTTTATATATAAACCATAAACCAATCCTTTTTCGTAAGTTAAGTTGACTAAACGGAAACAATTAATGTGACAGTTTGTTAGACAAAACGGCTTGTTTTCTTTTGCTTCCACGCCTAACTTATGAAAATTAGGTTTCGATAGCGCTTACCGTTTTTATAAAGTGGCAATGATAAACTTTGTCATAAAATGTATGAGAAAATAGGAAACGTGGGCAAGTCACCATAATCCTTATAAGATAACCTTTCATTTGAGATACCACGCGATGGGTCATTCTATTAGTATTCCCCCTTGAAATATAAGTGGATCTGTTTTCGGACGTCTCGGGTATCATCGGAAATTTTTACTTCTATCTTTTACTGCTGTCTTCACGCCGGTCTAGGCTTTATATATCATATTAAGCTTTCGATTGAGATATTGTTCACTAAAATCGGTTGAAAGGTTCTCTTGTTATAATCAAAATACTATACATGATAAAATTCACATTTTCTAAATAAATCGGAAGAAATCAGTTTCTTCCATATTACACTGAGCTGCGTGTACACCAACTAACAAGGGAAGTGAATTTCGATGAAATTTGGTACAGTCATAGAATGGGCCAAAATAAGGTTCGCACATTTTTTTATACGTGCGGTAAAAGCTCCTGGGGCTAGTTATAGGGGTTGAAAGTTTGGAGAAAAAGTATGTTTTCACTTATATTTTCAAAACGAAAAGTACTATCAAAATTTCGTAAATTATAGCTGATATTCATTTTAAAAGAGCTTTCTTTTGATGTATCATATACAGTGTGTCCCAGGATAGATGTTACAAGAGGTATAATGACTTAAAAATTTTTGAAATTTATTTTAAGGCTAAGGAATTAAGCCCTGCTTGGTGTGAAGAGAATTTTAAGAATATTTTCATATTTTGTAAACACAGGCGGTCTTGACAATGAATCGAAAACTATTTTTAGTTTAGGTAAAGTAATCTTTTTGTTCATGATACTGAAAAATTTTATTAAGAAAAGTTGTTCAAAATGAGAAATTATGGTCCTATACAAAATTTCAGAAGGATCTATCTACTTTGGTTGAACCATCACATTTTAGTTTAAATAACATAAATATTGTATAGTAATTGAAATGTGAACTAAAACTGAGGGATAATACAATTTATTTTTCAATATTTGCGACTACTTAAGTAATTTTTTTTTCATGGCATTTTTCATTGTTTTTTTTTTTCACTCCGATCTAATCTAAAATATGGTGGTTTAATCAGTGTAGGTAGATCTTCCTGAAATTTTGCATAGTGCAATAATTTTTCATTCTGAACAACTTTCCTTAATGATATTTTGTCGTACCATGAACAAAAAGCTTACTTTACCTGAACTCAAAATAGTTTTCGCTTCACTATCAAGGCCGAGTTGATTTTCAAAATATGAAAATATACTTAAAATTCTCTCCTCACCAAGCAGGGCTTAATACCTCAGCCTTGAAATAAAATTCAAACATTTTTAAGTCTTATACCTCTTGTAACATCTATCCTGGGACACACTGTATATACCAGAGGGTTAAAAGGTGCGAACTACCCCTATTTTTTTCGGATTTATTTAAAAACCACCCTATCGTTTTTGATGACGTTAAATATACTTGTAGTGCATTCAAAAATATTAGTTAAGTGTTTTTTCTCATTCATCGTAGATCAACCCTAGTGATTTTACGAGGGTTAACATGTAACTAATTTTCGTAAGAATGATGTGATAAAACTGTCAGGTATTTTTAAAAATTCTTTAAATAAAACCACCCCCTTAAAAATTAATTCTATCCTGGGCGTTACTTGTCGATTACGGCGAAATTTGGCACTGTGTTCGTTTTATAATTGAATTAAAAATTTTTGAAAATGGTTATAAAGGTTACAAATTAGTGGTAGTTTTTTGTTTATAGTTCGAAAATGAAAACTGCCATCGTAATTTGTTAAATGTAGAATTGTTTCTTTTTTTTAATCTATCTATATCGATGTTCCACGAGGTGAACTACCCTCATATTCTTTAAATAATAAACATAAAACTACTAGATAAATAAGATATTTTATTTATTTATGAGTTAAAAAGCAACTGACTAAAAAACATGGTTGATTATACCAAAGAAGTTTATTTTATATTACTAATTGACGTTTTTTATGTTCAATGTTAAATTTATTTTTATTCTACATAGTCTTAGCAAAAATGAAAGTCGTGGAAAAAATGTTTTAAATATAAGGACTTTTTACACCATGCATATGTTATGATCGCTATATCCCCACATATATCACACGTTGGCTTCGCACTCGAAAAGCAAACTTCCACGGGATTTTTAAAATGGCCTGGTCTCTCCTCTATATAGCCACTTGCAAAAAATGCGCATTTAAAAACATTTATAAGCCGAGGGGAAGACAACTGGTTATGCGTTAGGGATTGCAATTTTAATATATTATCCCTCTGATGTAAATTGACATCATACTGGTAAAGAATAATCTGATCAGAGAATCTTCTAATAAAATTTTTCCATATTCTGTAACCAAATACATCAATATTTGACCTGTTGTCCCTGAAAATTAGTATCTGATGGAGTTATTTCACTAATAACTTCAGGACAATGGCCACTCTAAGAATCTAATAATAATAATGATTTAGAAACAGTATTTGGAAAATATACATTTTGTTACCAATTTTTCAATGTGTTCTGAAGTTAACTTTCCAGATTTTGATGCCAAAACGTATATATTGGTACCAGAGGTTTCTTTTAAAACAATAAAAAGTGGAGGAAGAAGTTTCCCACCAGCAGATATTACGGGTTGAATTGTGTAAGTGTGCGTTGTAGATGATACCCACTGGACCATATTATCTATGGTTTTAACTCCTAAATCGCTTAATGTTCTTCCCGAATGGACTTCCAAGTTAAAACCGCTCTGATCCGAATTGTAGGTGTTTTCAGGTCCATATATTTGGATTTGTAGCTTTGCCTCCTTAACGAAATCTTTTGCTAAAGTTTTTTTTAAGGGGATGGTTAACCCCAACCACCCCTAAATAGTATATTATGCCTTATTTTACACAAAACATTTTATTGTGCGACTAATTTACAGTTTTGTTTAAAGTATTTTCTAAATACTTGACAGTTTTATTACATCATTCTTGCGAAAAGTAGTTACATGTTAACCCTCGCAACATCGCTAGGGTTGATCTACGATGAATGAGAAAAAACACTTAACTAATATTTTTGAATGCACTACAAGTATATTTAACTCATCAAAATCGATAGGGTGGTTTTTAAGTAAACCCGAAAAAATAGGAGTAGTTCGCCCCTTTTAACCCTCTGGTATATGTGTGATACATCAAAAGAAAGCTCTTTTAACATGAATATCAGCTATAATTTACGAAATTTTGATAGCACTTTTCGTTGTGAAAATAATACCCAGGGGTAAACCCCAGGGGCTTTTACCGCACCTATAAAAAAGTGTGCGAACCTTATGTTGACCCATTCTATGACTGTACCAAATTTCATTGAAATCGGTGAGACACAATCGTGACACTTCCCTTGTAAGTTTAATGAATATGTCGCACGTGGTACATAGATAGCTAAATTGCAATGCTGTTTCAATCTCGTTTGTAAGCTAGAATATTGACGTGCAATATTTAACGCATTGTCGTCATTTTGACCTCGAAAATTTTTAATGTTAATATTATGTTCCCTGAGGAATCCCTGAACAACATTTGCCAAGTATTCGAATCTATGCTCCTCCATTGGTATAAAGATCAGGAATCTTTCAAATATATCATTTACATAACGAGTGAAAAAGATTAATTGACCAACATGTGATATGTCTGGAGGAGAGTCAACACTAATTGAGTAATATTTTACCACCTTTACGTCATGTATTATTATCACCCAGAATAATATCTTTCTTAGTAGCTTTAAGTTGCTTATTAGTTCAAGACATCCTAGATAATTTCCATTTGACTACGGTCAGCTAAAAAGTTTAGTTTATCACAGTCACAATTCTTATTAGTACTTCCTTTCAGTACTGCACTTCAGTATTGTGTTGTGAAGCTAACACTTTGTCAGCATTTCTACATCTCATGGTATAAGTTATCTTCCATTTTTTGTGAAATATACTCTTGAATATGTTTCCAGCCATTGTGAATTAAATTATATAAGAGTGCGACATGAAAATGACGACACAGCGATTTCTTTGCTGAAGAGTGAGTTGGCCACGATTTATTTACAGTTTCGTTATTCTACAGAGAATGTATAAACATGGATTTCGATAAACAGCTTGTAGTTATTTGCAAATGTTAGCAAGAAGTGTTGGTAAAATCCTTAAAATTTTACTGACTTCAAAAGCAAAATAAATAATTATTATGTAACTTCCTTTTCCATGTTGCCCAATTTATTAAAATGATTTCTTTTTTTAGGTTTTCAGAACGTTTGAATCACCAGCAGAACTTACAAAAATATCAAAAATAAACGCCACTCTTTACACAAATCGTTTAAAACTGGTTGAAAATATTGTGAATACCAAAGATAATGTAATGGAAATATACGAACACATTGACAATTATAGTAAAGTTTTAAGACACGCTTTCGAAAATGGATTTCAAGACGTGTGGTTAACATCAAAACCAACCGAAGAATCCGAAAAATGGAACATGTTAACAGCCGTTTTCTTTTCATCGACCGTTTTAACAACAATCGGTTACGGAAATATCGCACCTATGACATTTGGAGGTCGAGCTTTTTGCATTTTCTTTGCCTTAATCGGAATTCCTTTGACATTAACAGTTTTGGCGGATTGGGGAAGAATTTTTGCAACAACTTTATCGACAATCGTTAATCATATCCCTTCGTTACCTATAAAATGGTCCCCGAATGAATCTCAAAGAACTTCTTATTTCGTTTTATCAGCAGTTATTTTTTTATTTGTTTATTTAGCATTTGGTGCTGGAATTTTCATTGCATTTGAAGATGATTGGACTTTTTTCGACGGATTTTATTTCTGTTTTGTAACAATGACCACAATTGGGTTTGGTGACTTAGTTCCAAAACGACCAAAGTACATGCTTTTATGTACTCTTTATATTTTAATCGGATTAGCGTTAACTTCGACTATTATTGAATTGGTTCGAAGGCAATACGCGCAATCTTGGCGACAAATCCAAGCATTATCTGGCCCTTTTGCCGAACATTTAAGAAGATTAGCTGAAATTGCACCGGGGTTAGATATTTTGGCATTTCAACAAGATTTAAGAAGGGTTTTAACGGTTACTTCAAAACGTGGACCTGCGAATGATAAAATTGACCAAAGACAACAACAAAAAGAATGGGAAGACGCCATGGAAGCTGTTATAAGAAACATTACTGAAGGTGCTAAAAATAAGAAGGAACGACCTGTTGTGCAAATTGTTATTTATGAAACTTCTGTGTAAATAAAAATCTAACAATAAATACTTAACAAATAGGTTAAGTAGTAGCGTTTTTATCAGTTTAATATTGAATAGATAGTGAGTAATTCACGGTTTTATCGAGAATTTATTTGAAATTATCAGGTATTGTGTTACAAAGTACAAGTGAATCATTTAAAATAATGTTGAAATTTTTTTAATTTTTGTAAAAAAAGTGCTTCAATTTTAATTAAACGTGTAGAATCTAATCTATAATTAAGACCGAAATTGAAGCTAGTAAAAATTGCAAATAAAATATTTTATTCATAAAAGAAAAGCAATAAAAGTTGAAGTGAGAAAAAGAATCCTATTGTTAAAAAGAAAGATTGCATTCTTTTAAATCTCCCCTTTGCTCAGACAAAAGCTGTAAAAGAAGCTTCCAAAACCTAGTTTACTAAAAGTATTATTCTATCAAAAGTACTTAACTCGATATTAGCAAACGAACTTGCGACCACCAACCAATATGTATACATATAGAGAGCCTTCAATTAAATGTATGTTCTATGTTCGGGAAGCATTCATCGACACCACATCAATGCGAAATATTGTATCAACGAGAGTGAGGAACTAATACAAGTACCTATTCGACAAGATAATTCAAGTGGATTTGTAAAATAGTTTCAAAGACCTTTTGTGGTCTTTTCGAATCTTTTCGGTGGTGTTTTAACAAAATTGAGTTAGAGCAATTGTCACCAGGTGAGTAAACGAAAAAACTAGCATGCTGATTGCATCAGCTAATCATATCTGACATACCTTAAAAGAAAGAGAAAATAAAAATCCTTTCGAAGATCCATGTGATAAGATCAATAAAATTAAAGTTACAGAAAAATATTTTTCCATGTCTGGTACTAGCTTCTGATAATAATACAACATTGGAGTGAAAGATGGCACCAAATTAAAGCTATTTTGCTTTCTATAATCAGTCTAAGAAGATGGTATCTCGCTCACCTCTTCACTGAGAAAAATAATGTGGGAAAACTACCTAAAATTTAGTCATATTATCTAGAATTTTTAGTCAAAAATTAGCTAACTACTACTACTAGTTATAAAAACTAATTCTATTTCGATAATTTAAGGTAGATAAATGATCGAAAAATATATCTTATAAATACCTAATCAAATTAACTTCAATATACAGGTGCCCATTATGTATGGAATATAGTATATATCTTGATCAACTTTATAAAAAAACATTTTATACAAAAGTTGTTTAATATTTTATTTGCCATGATAAGACGAATAACACTTGAAGTTTTTTAAATGGCAATGTACCCTTTCGTTAGGCTCATTTGATAGAGATTTCTTTTCTCTTTACGATGACGTAAAATTTTAGTACCCTTGTATCAGAAAATTTTTGAAAACATGTAAAAATTGCTTATTAAGAAAATTTAACTAATAACAGTAATCTAAATATCCAAGATAATCAAAGCTTAACATTTTCGCGTATAACTCGAAAACCGTCAATATTATCAAAATTTTCAAAGAGTGATAAAAGTTTCTAAAATAAATTTTCTATTAAAGAGTACAAAAATAAATGTAGGGTTACGAGCGAACAAAAAAGTTCTGAGCAAACAAATTTTAGGGACAGTCTGTATAGCATGGTTGCCGCAGCCCGATCAAAGTCAAAATTGATTCAATGATTTTGCTTGATATTTGTTTACCCTCTTACCAAATTTCAACGCTGTTATATTACTTTTATAATAATTTTTTTTCACGAATCGTCATCATTTTTGCTCTAGTATATGAGGTTAATTTTATGGCCCGAGTCACCGGAACATCCTGTATAGTAGACGCCACAAGAGCTGGCAGTAAATCATCATTTTCCGCTCTTACAAATGCCATACGTAGTTCACAAACCGNACTACCTAAAATTTAGTCATATTATCTAGAATGTTTAGTCAAAAATTAGCTAACTACTACTACTAGTTATAAAAACTAATTCTATTTCGATAATTTAAGGTAGATAAATGATCGAAAAATATATCTTATAAATACCTAATCAAATTAACTTCAATATATAGTATTAATAGATGTTTTTACTATTAATATTATTTTTGTTATTAATGGTTGTACATAGCTTTATTATTTAAATATAGACGTCTTACCTAATTTTTTGTATTAAGAAATATTTTCTATAAACGATCGATGTAACGATGAAAACAGGTAGACAAAACGACTAAAATACATTTAAATAAAGTATTTAATAATAGTACATTTAGGTAAAATATTTCATTGTTAAATGTATATAGATATTCAGACTAGAACAAAATACACAAAATACCAAATACTTTAGGTAACTAAACTACTCAACAACTAGACTTATCAACTAGTTTCCACGACGTAGTTTCTTTTTCTAAAAATTAGTTATATCTCCTCAGTAAATAGATAAATTAACTATCATAAATTTGACTAATTAGAATTGTATATGTCAGCTAAATTACATTAGGTAAATGAATAAATTTTCTAGCAAAAATGACTATTTGTCTAACAACTAAATTGATTTAGTTCAATTTTCCATATCATTTTTCTCAATGTTGTTATGTGTCTCAAATAATTCAAATTTCTTTCTTTGACGGCATTTAAGAGCTGGTTAACTTCTCTGTCGATGCTATTTTTAAGATACGGTGTAACACAAGAACATTTCGAAGGCATTTTATCTTTTATTTCTTTATGTAGGTAAGATAAAGGCGCGACGTACTGTCTGGAACGCACCATCTTTTCGATTGGACGGAACCCCCCTCTCCCCGCAGAGCTTATTTCTGTTTCTTTTTAATTTATGATTCGCTTAAATCGCTCTAGAAAAATAAGGAGATATGACTTTGAAAAACTGATAACGGTATGCGATAAACGCAATTATTTGACATATTTTGGTAAAAACCGCGTTGAAAACCACCAGGTCGTTTTCGAAATAACCGCCTCCTACTAAACCGCGAAACTATATGGAATATCGATAAAATAAAATATGCTCCACATTAAGAACACATCGGTTTACCACCAGATCAAATTTGAAATTTTTTCGTCAAATAGTTTTGGAGAAAAAAAATCACAAAGCATACAAAGTTGCTGGCACTCTCTTGCTGACTTAAACGAGATATCAACTGTGCTATATTTTTGGAAAGGAAATTTTATGCTCTCGTCGAATTTGCAATAATATATAGGATGTTCCATTTAAAAAAATCACTTTTATGTCAATAACTACTAAAATATTACTTTGAGGGAAAGCTAACTTATTCTATCGAATTCTACATAAAAAGTAGCTTCGGAAATGTTTTCATAGAAAGGAAGATTTTTCAATAAGAAAAAAGTTATGACGACTTTTCGAAAATGCAGTTTTTTTTTAAACAGCCTGTATCTCTGAAACCGTAAGAGATATCGATATGCGGTTTTCGGCATTAAGTTTCTTATAAAATTCGATCTTCAGACAGTGACATCATTTTTCTTCTATCTCTTATAGAAACAGTAGTTTGCCTTTAAAAGTGTCCAATTTGGCCCACCCTGTACATCTGAGAGCAAAAGTGTAAAAGAGCAGAATTGTGAAGACTAAAGTTTGCTACAACTTTTATACTAAAACTTGTTCTCTAAACCGTGTTGCGCTCTACCAATAACGTATGTAAAACTACGATTTCATCTAGTTTTCACCCTTTCGAATATTTCTCGATATTTGGGAATCTGGGAGCAGCAAAAGTGTAAAAGAGTCTTAGAATAAAATTTGCTACAACTTTTATATCAAAACTTTTTTCAAATATGTTCCGAATTCCGTGCTTAGATGAACTAAATTGTGTTTTTCTTATTGTGGGTTAGACTTTCGTACGCTATCTTCTTATAGGTCAAAAATTTCATCGTGAATAGGTACTCGTATACTCAAATTTGTGATTGAAAAGTTTATAGAGTCATAAAAATCGATGTATTTCCAGTAATAATACTTGAAGAATTTTGAAGGTTAATAAAATACCGTATTTTCTCGAATCTAATCCGCACCCTTTTTACAAATTTTGTATGCTCTAAAATCAAATGCGGATTACAATCGGATGTGGATTACATTGGTAAACCAACTTTTTTTACCATCATTGCATTTTTAAAATCGAGGTGCGGATTAGATTCGAGTGCGGATAAGATTCGAGAAAATACGGTAATAAAAGAAACTTGAATTTGGAATTCTCAATCGATATTTTCCAAAAATGTTATGAAGAATCTATTGACAATTTTAAGGAATCGTAGCAAAACACGTGATTCATTCAAAATTAATTTAAATTTTTATAATTCCTTGACCCTAAAATTGTTCAAGTCATTATTTAAGCAAAACAAACGTTAAAAAAAATTGTTGTGACTCATTTCATACCAGACACATTAATTGACTTAATTATGTTTTAATCAATCTTGATTTTATTTTTAGACTAAGTTTTTATTCATTTTACAAAGTTAACATAACAGATTTCAAACCATTTTACAAAACTCTAGTAATTTCAAATTGTTTCCAAAACAACCTTAATCTCGATCTTAATTAAAAAAAATCGAGGTTAATATCGTTGTTGTCTAATTGAACTTTACTAATTACGTTCAAGTTATAAACTTTACACATTTTAAATCGTTTTTTATCATAGATTAACCTTGCTGAATCAAATTAATAATAGGACTTTTTTAAATTACATCATGTCATACAACGAAATACGTCCCAAATTAAACTTTGGACCCAGACAACCCAGAATACACTAGAAACAGCTCATGCACACTCATGCTCATGTGAAGTACGTGAGTTTAAACGTCGATCTCCCACCATACCACGTGTGATGAAATAAAGGGGACAAAGTCACGTTATAAACTATCAGACGTGCAGGAAATTGAATTAATCCAACATCAGACGTTAAACGAACCGTTTATTTTTACAAAAGGTTTTAGTGCTAGTACGTTTTTTTAAGTGTTGTCTTGATAAATAAGTTTCAAAAAATAATTAACCAAGGTATGTTGAAAATTAAAACATGATTTTTCGATTTAAAGCTAAATTAATTCTGTTTTAATTATTTTAAATTGTAGAATATAAAAAAAATTAAATGTTTCTGATTCAAAATTTTAAAAATTAACTAAGTTATGTTGAAAATTAAAACATGATTTTTCGATTTAAAGCTAAATTAATTCTGTTTTAATTATTTTAACTTGTAGAATATAAAAAAAATTAAATGTTTCTGATTCAAAATTTTAAAAATTAGAAAAGAAGAAAATTTTAATAAATATATAAACCACGTTTTTAAAATAAAAAATAATTTTGAAACTTAACTGTTCATAATGTTCCTGGTTTATTAACATTATTTATATTAATTTTTATAGCAGGATGTCTCAAGCAATTACTGATAATGGAATCAGCCCGGATATGACCAATTTGAGTCAAGAACATGAAGCAGATCCAGCGTGCATTATGGGAATGGAATCCATTAACAGGGTGGCTAAAATACCCGTCATTGAATCGGGATTAAGTGTCGCAACCAGTCTATATTCAAAAGTAAAGGTAAGAAAACGTACCAAAAAATAAATAATGTTTATTGTAAGATAATAGGAAAAATAATTTTTCGAAAATGTTGAAAAATGGCGTGATCTTTCGAACCTGTTTGTTTAAAAAAAACCGGTTGGCTTTAAACACGTGTTGTTTAAATTTTGAAACGAAACCATGTTCTAAAATAAAATTTAATACACTCAAAATTTTTTTAAATAAACTTTTAACATTCATTGTTAAATTTTAGAGTCGCATTAGAAGTCATAAAAAATTTAGATAACATTTCAATCGGCCATCATAGATAAATCAAGCAGTTTGAAAGATTGATAAAGTTTTTTTCTATTTACGTTGAATCAATCTACGACTTAATTATTGCAATTTTATGAAGTTTATTTTATATGTTGTTTAAAATGTACTTTACAAGCCGATATGTTCGTTGTCTTTTTCACATTTCTTCCTCTAAAACCGGGTTTTGTCCTGTCAATATTATGATAACAAGGGAAAAAAATGATGAATATGATGCTGTAATCATTTACATACAGCGATTTATACAGTTTTTTGAGAAAAAAATGCTTGTGCATCCATGCCATCTGCTAATGTTATATATCACTGTGTAAAGCGGAAAGGTTGCTGAAGATTCTAGATAATCTCGTAGTTTTGTCCTTATCATATAAAAAGTTATAACACCTTAAACATTTACTTACAGTAATTATACGCAGTAGTGATGGAACGGATAGTGATTTTGCGAAAAGCCGGTTATCCGGCCTTATTTTTCAAAACGGCTTTTTGCATTAAAAAGAAGATACTTTAATTAATAATTGGTGATATTCCAACAAGGATCCTTCATCAAGAAATTAATTTTATAGCGAATTTTGAAAATTATCGATGAAAATTGTAATAACGAAAATTTTATCGAAATTTCAAATATTGTTTTCTCAAAAACTAAAAGTTATTTTTCAAAACGGGTTGGTTCATTGGAAAGAGGACACTCTTATTAAAATTTTTGGCAATTTTCATACTCATATTCCAAGAAGTGGATTTTATACGAATTTATAAAACTTAATCGGCGAAAATTGCAAAATTCGAAAAAATTGTCGATTATTTCAAAAATTTAATTCTCAAAAACTAAAAGCGATTTTTCAAAACGACTTTTTGCATTAAAAAGAGGATACTTTAATTAATAATCAAAAGTGATAACAGCGATAGTTCTGTTACTAATGAATGTGATGATGAATTACAAGCGAAGAGAAGGAAACTAGACGAAACTGCAAAAAGAGATTTTATATATCGTATTGGGATTGTTACACTGAGGTTGCTAAAGACAAATCTGATATAAATAAAGTTGTATTCAACGAAAAATGTCCTATTGGGTTGTACTTGATTATTATCTGGAATGTCCAACATCTAAAAGAGATACAATTTCCTGTGAATGGTGGAGTACTAAGTAATAGGCTTTTAATATCCGACCAAAGCCGAATATTTGGTAACTATCCGATATCCGACCTGGTTTTTACAGTTTTTCGGGGAAGAATGCTTGTGTAACCATGCGATCTACAAAAGCTATATACCTACCACTGCATAGAAAGGAGAATTTTCTAATAAGAAAGTTATTACGCTGTAAATATTTACATATGCTAATTATACGCGATTTTTGCTGTTTCTTTTGGGAAAATGCTTGTGCAATCATACCACTGACTAAACTGGCATATCACTGNTTACATACAGCGATTTATACAGTTTTTTGAGAAAAAAATGCTTGTGCATCCATGCCATCTGCTAATGTTATATATCACTGTGTAAAGCGGAAAGGTTGCTGAAGATTCTAGATAATCTCGTAGTTTTGTCCTTATCATATAAAAAGTTATAACACCTTAAACATTTACTTACAGTAATTATACGCAGTAGTGATGGAACGGATAGTGATTTTGCGAAAAGCCGGTTATCCGGCATATCTATTCGGCCTTATTTTTCAAAACGGCTTTTTGCATTAAAAAGAGGATACTTTAATTAATAATTGGTGATATTCCAACAAGAATCCTTCAAGAAATTAATTTTATAGCGAATTTTAAAAATTATCGATGAAAATTGTAATAACGAAAATTTTATCGAAATTTTAAATATTGTTTTCTCAAAAACTAAAAGTTATTTTTCAAAACGGGTTGTTTCATTGGAAAGAGGACACCTTTATTAACACTTTGGGAAATTTTCATGCTCATATTCCAAGAATTGGATTTTATACGAATTTTTAAAACTTAATCGTCGAAAATTGCAAAATTCGAAAAAATTGTCGATCATTTCAAAAATTTATTTCTCAAAAACTAAAAGCGATTTTTCAAAACGGCTTGTTGCATTAAAAAGAGGATACTTTAATTAATAATTGGTGATATTCCAACAAGGATCGTTCAAGAAATTAATTTTATAGCGAATTTTAAAAATTATCGATGAAAATTGTAATAACGAAAATTTTATCGAAATTTCAAATATTGTTTTCTCAAAAACTAAAAGTTATTTTTCAAAACGGGTTGGTTCATTGGAAAGAGGGCACTCTTATTAACACTTTGGGAAATTTGTATACTCATATTCCAAGAACTGGATTTTATACGAATTTTTAAAACTTAATTGGCGAAAACTGCAAAATTCGAAAAAATTGTCGATTATTTCAAAAATGTAATTCTCGAAAACTAAAAGCGATTTTTCAAAACGGCTTGTTGCATTAAAAACAGGATACTTTAATTAATAATTGGTGATATTTCCACAAGGATCCTTCAAAAAATTAATTTTATAGCGAATTTTGAAAATTATCGATGAAAATTGTAATAACGAAAATTTTATCGAAATTTCAAATATTGTTTTCTCAAAAACTAAAAGTTATTTTTCAAAACGTGTTGGTTCATTGGAAAGAGGACACTTTTATTAACACTTT